AGCCATCTCTCCAGCACCAGAAGCAAGTTTGCATCAGCTCTGAAGAGGTTCTTCCTTCCACTTAACTTTTAGATGCTATACAAACCATTCCTCTTTCCTGGACCCTCTGCTTTCTCGTCTGTAAAATGGTATTGATTCTGTACCTAGTTGACTTGTGGAGTAATCCTAAGGGTCAGATGAGGTAATGTTTTGGAAACACTTTAAATAAACTTTGTGGTTCTGGGGATGTAGCTCAGTGACGTGGAGTGCTTGCCCAGTGAGCACGAAGACCTGGGATGGAAGTTGGGTGTGGCGATGCATGCCTGTCATCTGAGAACTCTGTTGAAGAGAGAGGATCAGAAGTTCTAGATCACCCTCCCAAACACATGGGGTTCAAGGCCAACATGGACAACATGAACTCCTCTCAAAAAAAAACAAAACAAAACAACAACAACCACACACACACACACACACACACAAACCCCACAAAGTAGCCATTCTCTTTTTTCTCCCTTTGTCGATGACAGACAATGAATAATTGAGAGCAAATCCACAGAGCACTTGCTCAAGGACTCCTGGAGACTAAAAAGCAAGCATTCACAGCTATCTCCCCACCGTGCTTACTAGTGGAAGGATCAAATGTTTGCCTTGAATATTCTTAGCATTGAGAGGCCAGTTAGATAAGCCTGCCACAAATATTGTAGGGAGAGACTCCAAACAGGGGCTCATATGCCCTGTGTCTGTGTACAGAGAAGTTGTAAGTAAAGCTGTGTTTCAACAAACACACTCTGTCTTACTATGGTGACAAATGCACCTTTATAATAACCTAGAAAGCTGTGTGAATGTAATATTCTCAGAATTTCACACATACACACAAAATGTGACATCACAGAAAGAATCAAACCTGGTCTCCGGCCCGAGCATCTGGCAGTGCTCATCTGTGGACACTGCCTGCACCAGGAAGGCAGTTCCTCCTCATTTCCTATATTCGAACTGGAGCTCCACATCCCCTTAGAAAAACCCACACCAGTCCACCTTTCAGACCGTGAGGGGTGTACTAGAAAGGTGGACCCTAGGAAAAATGCCAACTGGCTTCTGTCACAGGCTCGGGACTGCCTTGAGGAGGAACTCCAGGGCACAAAAATAGTATTGGAATAGTGTCTGAATTTGGGGACTTGTATTTCAAAGCAGGTCTCTTATCTGCTGTTTTATTCATGCCCTGACTTTGCCAAGAGAGGCAAGGCCAGTGTAAGGATGATCAGATATAAAATCAACATACAGGAGGACCTGAGTTTAATATCCAGCACCCACATGGAGGCTCACAGCCATTTGTAACCCGGCCTCCCAAGTGCTGGGATTTTGAACCCATAGCAACAGGTCTGTCAAACAGAATAGATTCTTGTTCTTAGAGAGTGCTGAGAAGCAAAGGAATGAATTCCCTTGTTAAGCAATTCTCCTGCAGATGCTGATAACAAACTGGGATTCTCAGCAGTCGTGTGTACCCTCACTTTTGGTTCTAAAGCAGTTGAAGGACAATCTTAAGAGCCTAATGGAAGTCCCAACTTTACTAATGACAACAGAGATTACAGCCTGCACTTGTGACCAGGGGAGTGCCGCCAGCCAGCATTCTACCATTTTGCTCTTCCTGTGGGTAACGAGTGCTGAGCCTTCTCTATCAAAGAGGACAGCAGGGGGATGTGGGCTTCCAAGGGAGGCCATGGTCCCAGCCATCTCTGTCTGGTATGTGGGAATAAAACCAAAGAGGGCAAGGTGCAGACAGACTCAGCAAGAGGGAGGGAGTGGACAATGGACCTTCGCTCCTATCTGTCCCCAACATGGGTCACTCCTCCCCAAGGGCCAGAGCCCAGGGCAGCTTTTGTTACTTTACTGGAGGACAAAGTGTGAGCAGAGGTGGCAGAAGAGATGAGAAGGTCTACCTCAGCTAATACTGACTCAGTGTCACCCTCTCAGAACTTTTCTGAACAGGTGGGGCCTGGGAGCTTGATTTCTAACTTACTGGAACGAGACTGGCTACTAACTCTCCATGTGGCTCTGGGTGGGCGAGTGAGGGGGCCAGAGAGGACTTATGTAATTTGCAATCTGAGCTGTGGCAACTGAAACTGTTCATATCAGTTCTGGAAAGTAGACAAGTGCTGCCAAGTGCTTCCTCCTGGGAGCCACATATGATAGGACTGGAGAGAAGAAAGAAAGTGATACATATTTGTGTGTGTGTGTGTGTGTGTGTGTGTGTGTGTGTGTGTGTGTGTGTGTGTGTGCCCAAGTACTCATGCTTGCAGGCCAAGGTCAACCTTCGTAGTCATTCTTTTTTTTTTTTTTTCTTGAGACAGGGTTTCTCTGTGGCTTTGGAGGCTGTCCTGGAACTCACTCTGTAGACCAGGCTAGTCTTGAACTCACAGAGATCGCTTGCCTCTGCCTCCCAAGTGCTGGGATTAAAGGTGTGTACCACCACTGCCCGGCATTGGTAGTCATTCTTGAGGGGCTGTTTATCTTGCTTTTTGAGGCCGGGTGTCTCTCATGGGATTGTCCTATCTCCACTTCCTCAGTGCCAGGGTAACAAGCCTGCACCACCACATCGGGCCCTTTTTCTTTTTAATGTGGATTCTGGGTATCAAACTCTGGTCCTTATGCTTGTGTGGCAAGCATTTCAGTGACAGACCCATCTTGTCCATCTATCATCCTCCGCCCCACCCCCTACCTTCACACCCACTGAAGTGGACGGAAAGAAGGAAAGATATGTTCCTCCTGGGGCTGTAAGTCTGAGGGAACAGCCTGGAGTTGGGGTGCCTGAAAATGTGCTGAAGTTCTGACAGAAGTCTGAAAATAGATTTCTAATCCCCTCCCTCTGCCCTCCCTTTGGCCATAGCTTCCGCATGCCCGTCCCATCTTCCACTTCTTCCATCTGAATTAGTCAGATTCAGGCATTCCTTCATCCCTTGGCACATAGCTCATGGGTAGATGGAGGAGAAAATTTAATTAATTAAAATAGTGCACAGTGACTGCTAGGTCTCCTAAGCCACCAAAGACACATTTGTATTGTAAAAGAACAGAGTCCTTATGGGAATAAGCTCAGTGGTTGACGTTCCAGCCAGAATTCTGAAGCTGTTTGTCTGGGAATGGGAGGTAGGTCTGCTCTCAGCCCTCACAGACAATACAGCCTTCTGTGAAACAGTGAGTGAGTAAGGACCAGCCACAGACTTGGCACAGGTCAAGCGTGAAGACATAGAGATGACCACTGATTGTGTAGAATGAAGTCACTGATAACTTAAAGGAACTAGGGAAAACTGTTGGTGATACCATGTGAATTTTGTCTGCTAAGCCCCGGAGGGAAGAAAGATTCATACTGAAATAATGGGATGTTGCTTCTGAGGGGTCAGGAAAAGAAACTTTTAGAACACGGAACATTTTTACTTTAAAGAGAAGATCTTGCATGCTCTAGGCTAGCCTTGAACTTACTATGTAGCTGAGGCTGGCCTTGAACTCCTGATCCTATTGCTTCCATCTCTTGAATGTGGGATCACAGGTATGTGCCATCAAGGTTAGCTATACCCTGGGTATGTAACTGCTGAGCTTACTTCTATTTTTCTAAGCAAAACTTTAGTCTTTAACTAAGGAAAAGTTAACCTGTCCCTTGAGGCCAACTCATGGACATGTGACCTTTCTGCTGATGTAAGAACTTGGCCAGTCTAGCCAAGCACACGGTTCCTTCCTCGCCCTAGGCAATCCCACCCCTTGGCTACCCTGCTTCCCTGCTCTTGCCTCAGAGTCTTTGTTCCTCTCTGCTCACCTCTGCTCTTTAGGTTCTTATCCACCTTTCCAGCAAGGCGTCTTCTGCCTCTCAGAATAGTGTACATCCTTCAAAGCTGGCTCAAGATTCCAGCACCCCCAGCTCAAGATACCAGGACCCCCCACTTCTGATCTCGGAACTCTGAGGTTCTACCACCTTTTTTTTTTTTCCCCGAGATAGGGTTTCTCTGTGGCTTTGGAGGCTGTCCTGGAACTTGCTTGGTAGTCCAGGCTGGTCTCGAACTCACAGAGATCCACCTGCCTCTGCCTCCCGAGTGCTAGGATTAAAGGTGTGTGCCACCACCGCCTGGCTCTACCACCTTTTTATCTATCTGTCTATCTACCTACCTACCTACCTGCTTCTCTATCATCTATCTGTCCATATCTATCTATCTATCTATCTATCTATCTATCTATCTATCTATATATCTATATATCATCTATCTGTATATCTATCCATCTGTGTATCTATCTATATTTATGTATTTGTTCACCTCTGTCTATCTACCTAGCTATTTCTATATCTTTCTACCTATCTATCTATCTACATATCTATCTATCTATCTATCATCATCCTCACCATCATCCATTTATTTGTATAATACTAAGGACTGAGCTTTAGGCTCTTGAGCATTTGAGGCAAGGGCTTTCTCAATGAGCTACAGCAGCCACGGACTTCTTTTTACTCTTTGAGACCAGATTTCACTTGGTTGCTCAGGCTGATCTTGAACCCACTCTGTAGCTCAGACAGGCCTTGAACTTGTAATCCTCCTGCCTCATCTCCCTAGTATCTGTATTACATCCGGTTCCACAAGATCTGTCTGAACTTGCAATATAATAACACTCACAGTAATGATTATGGCTGTAAGAATGAGGCCTTAATATTGGAATATTGCAAAGAATGACAACAACATGCTATTACATTTGAGGGTTACAGGATTGTTGAAAAGATAAGGGATTAGCATGAATACTGCCTAAAAACAAAGGCAATGAAAATATTCATTGAGGTCCAGAAAGAATAAATTTGTTTCAGAAGATGGCAAGGCACCTGTGGTGGTTTGAAAGAAAATGGCCCCCAAAGGGAAGGGCATTAATAAGAGGTGTGGCACTATTAGGCCTTGTTGACATGGGTGTGGCCTTGGTAGAGGAAGTATGTCACTGTGGGGACAGGCATTGAGATGTCTTTTGCTCAAGTTTGGCTCAGTGTGACACTCAGAACACTTCCTGTTGCCTGGAAGCCAAGATGTAGGACACTCAGCTACCTCTCTAGCACTATTTCTGCCTACACACCTCCTTGTCCCACCATGATGATAATGGACTGAACCTCTGAACTGTAAGTGAGCCACCCCAATTAATGTTTTCCTTTATACGAGTTGCTGTGGTCATGGTGTCTCTTCATAGCAATAGAAACCCTTAGACAGTACTTTTCCATTTTGGTCTCTCCGGCTTATGGACAGCTATGTAAGTAGCCAAAAATATCACAGACTTACTTAAATCATTGAGGGTTTTGTTTTGTTTCCACAAATTAACTAGGCAGTTCTTTGTAGATGACAACATCATTTCGCAATGGTAGAAGTTTGAACACATCTGGTAGTTTCTGATTAAACGTGGTTTTGTAGAAGCCAGATGTGGTGGTGCATGCCTGCAATCCCAGCCAGCTACTCAGGAGACTGGGGCAGGAGGGGCAGGAGCTCTAGACAAGACTGAGTTACACAGTAATCTGAGAACAGCCTGGGTAAGTTAGCAAGGCTTTGTCTCAAGCACACTTGTTCTCACACACACCCCTTGCAGTGTTTCTAGTTCTTTTCCATTGCTAATTTGGCTCCCTAGTAAGATCACAGGTTTCTTCAGGGCAGGAAACCTCTACTAGAGTTTTTCATTTTGTTTGTATGTTCTCGGCTTCTAGAATGACAGCAAAAGTGTAATTGGGGCTTAGAATGTGCCTCACTGAGCTGGGGGTGAAGTTCAGTAAAAGAGCATTCCTCCAGCATGAAGGAGGCCTGGGGTTGTACACAAGCAATGAAAGAAGAAAGACTGCTCTGTGGTGGAGAGGAGAGCCTTGTGCTTGTGTGAGCATGGACGATCGAGCTTCCTGGGTGAGTCCATTCACCTTATTCGGGTAGAGGGAAAGGAGAGTGTGGAGACTTCAAAGGACTCTTTGAGATGGAAGCTTCATTACTAATCAAAAGTTCTTCAGTATTGGAATCCAGAGAGGAAGGAACAAAATATCTCTCCCTTTGGATGAACATGGTGATAATGAAGAAGGCATTCCGGGAAGGCTGGCTATACCACTGCTCATTTATCTATCTGAGGGAGAACCTGTGGAAAAGAAGGGTCTTCTCTTTCCTGGGGTTTAGCTGGAGAGAGATGGCCTGTGGGTTATCAGCCTAGCTCTGCTGTTCTTCACTGGACAAGAGGAAAGAGAGGTCTCTGCACTTGCTCCAAGCCCCATTCCTAAAGGTGAAGCTGTAGTGATATTTTGTTTATACTCTAACAAATAAAGCTTGCCTGAAGATAAGAGGGCAGAACTAGCCACTAGTTAACCATAGAGGTCTGGAGGTTTGTGCAGATAGGCAGGAAGTGAGATGGCTGGGCAGAGAGAGGAAGTGATAAGGCGGGAGAAGACAGGAGCTTGGTTTCTTTTCAGTCTGATGATTTCGTAGAAGTAAGAGTTCTAGTGTCTGGCTGCTCTGCTTCTCTGCTCTTTCAGCTTTCACCCCCTAACATCTGACTCTGGGTGTTTGTTATTAAAACCAATTAGAACTCCTGCCACATGAAGCTACTGAAGTCACTGTGCCAACAGAGTGAGAACAGATTGAGAATGTACTGACTGCGTGTCCTAGGAATGCTGGAGCTGCTGTTTGGTGTATCTACTGGCTTGTTGCCACCTAAATTTGTGTACCACAATGAGGATGTGTAGTCTGCTAACAGCAGCAGGAAGATTTGTGAAGATTTACATTTGTAAGCATAATGGATGCAACATTAAAGTTTTAGTACTTGGAGTAAATCCTGAGTATCGATCACTGTTGCAGAAGATTAATTTGAACCACATTCCAAGTTGAGTGTGTAAGCATGCCAGCAAGATTTCTGAGGCAAAATTGTCAATGTACACTCCCTAGTCCCCAGGTCACCTTTAATAAACATGTAACAACTACTTCATTTCTAACTAAGACATCAAATGTTCCTGAGAACTTGACCTTCTCTGGAGGGAAATCAATCAAGCTATGATAAGCAATGAATGTCCTGAACAAACGTAAGAGCTGGGGTAATAAGAAATATATTTATGATGACAAAGATGATTTCATTTTACAGAATTTTCTCCCTTGTATGCATCAGACTAGGAAGTCTTAGAGGCTAAGAAAGTTTAAAAAGAAGTTTGAAATTCTAAGTACAAGGGGTAGGGATGTGTAGCTCACCTATAGGGTGTTTTCCTGGTGTGAATGAGGCTGTGGGTCTGATCCCCAGCACTCACAAACTGGATGTGGTAGTTTGTGATTCCAGCACTGGGGAGGTAGAAAGGGGGACCAGAAACTCAAGGTCATCCTTGGCTACATAGAGAGTTCAAGGCCAGCTGGGCTACTTGGGACCCTACCATAAATAAAACAGTAAGTTTGAAGTATGAAAATATTTCTTGGGGTTGGGTGGTGGTGGTGCTCACCTTTAGTCCCAGCACTCGGGACGCAGAGGCAGGCAGATCTCTGTGAGTTCGAGGCCAGCCTGGTCTACAGAGCGAATTCCAGGACAGCCTCCAAAACAATATAGAGAAACCCTGTCTCGAAAAACCAAAAAAAAAAAAAAAAAAAAAAAAAAAGAATTTACAATGTGTTTTAGGCTCGTTTGCAAAAAGAAAAAAAAAAGAAAGAAAAAAAATTTTTTGATTAGTATGCTGTTACTGCTGATTGGAATCAGAACATATGGAAATTTTCTAGCTGAATTTCAGCAAAAGTGCTTGCACAATGGGGACATGGGGCTGAAAAATAACTATCATGATTTATGAACACTTGAATTCCTTTGGGTCTGCTTTACCTTGGTGAAGTGTCATTCATCAGCCTTGACAGCCCTTCAAACTCCATGTCAAAACACACCAATCTTTGGCAGGTGGAGATGCTCAGAATAATGGATTGTTACCCACCTTACTGCTCATATTTAAACTATTAATATTGTTTTCAGGAATAACAAATATACTTAATTTTTATTTAGGGGTCCCATTGGTACAAAAAGATTTATGAGTAACATGAACCCCTGATTAAAACTCTGCACCCCAAAAATAATTATTTATGAGCTGGGAGGATACTGGGACCCCTGGATCTACAAGATGAATATAAGGTCATCTCCATCCTTCTCTTGCCTCTACAGCTGTCCTCCACCAGTGCCCACTGCATTGGCTACTCTGCAAGATCCTGCTGCATGGAGCCCCCCATCCTCTCCTCACCCAGGGTTTTCCTGCTGCATTGAGCCCCCTCCCAGCCTCTCCTTACTTAGTGGTTCCTGCTGCGCGAAGCCCCCCCCCATCCTCTCGTTATCCAGTGGTTCCTTCCGCCATTCCAGATGGTTGCATTCTGTTTATTAAAAGAAAAAAAAAACAAAGCCGGGCGTTGGTGGCGCACGCCTTTAATCCCAGCACTCGGGAGGCAGAGGCAGGCGGATCTCTGTGAGTTCGAGGCCAGCCTGGTCTACAGAGCTAGTTCCAGGACAGCCTCCAAAGCTACACAGGGAAACCCTGTCTCGAAAAACCAAAAAAAAAACCAACCAACCAACCAAACAAACAAAAAAAACAAAACTTACCATTCACACTCTCCTTGCTTCTTCCCCCTCCTTTTCCTTCCCCCACCCCTCTTCCTCTCTTGTCCTAGAACTCAATATGTAGCCCAGAATGGCCTTAAACTCCTGTCAATCCTCCTGTCTCAGCCTCCCAAGTGCTGGATTACAGGCATTCGCTGCGTGGTTCGGGCAGACAGGCTCTCCAGCCCACTTTGCTGGGATTCCCATGATCAGTTGACCACGGTTTTCCGGTGCCTGAATGTTCCACATTTAGACTCGGCTTTCATGTGGTCTGCATCCCTGAGAATTTTTCCTGTCTTATGGCAGACTTTATGGACTTGCTGTCTCAGGTGCCCCTGTGAGCACTCTGTTACTCTAGTTTTTTTCTATGATATCATCCTGAGTAATCTTCCCTGGGGGAACTCCTACCTTCCCTATGCTCTTAGACCTGAACATACACTATTTGTTACCGTTTAGGCTTCCTGAGAATTAGCGACCAACCGTTCTGTTAAAACCAAGGTCGACTCTTACAATTCCTCTCACACAGCCCATCCCGCAACCCCAGCCGCAGTGTGTGTTGACTTCGTGTTTAACAGCCAGACATCTGTCGCTTGTCAACACTGCGTCCAACAGGCTGCGTGAACCACGGGAGAGGTTGTGGTTACTAAGTGGGCTAACCATGTTTCAACAGTACAGAGATCCCATCTCAGGCCTGATTCAGAGAGCCTCTGGAAAGGCAATGAAAACACCTCCCAGGCAGGTCAGAGACATTCCTGCAGAGAATGAGCTCACGGATGAGGTGGGGAACCCTAAATTACTCACAAGCCCTGGTCTCCTTGAGGAACGGCACTGGGGAGAGAAGCTAAAGTTACTAGCTCGCCCGGAGGGGAAGCACAGCCACCTGTTGTGACTCACACAGGCTGGCTGGCAAGGGTTTCCGGGTTTGCCTTCCAATTAAGGAGCTGAACAGAAGGACAGAGATTGTCTAGCTGAGCCTGTCGGGTAACAGGTGTTCAGACCGTGAGTCCGTGACGTCACTCCCAGCATGGGGACTTGGTCTGAAAATGAATTCTGACTTTTGAAAGTGCTAAGATCAGGGACTGGGGATGCAGCTCAGCTGGTAGTGCCTGAGCTCAGGTTGCAGCACTGCCTAGCCAGGTGTGGAAGCAGGAGGATTTCAAAATTCAAGGTTATCCTTGACTACATAGAGAGGTCAACTCAGCCCTCATGAGACCCCCCCCTCTGTCTCTCTCTTTACACATATATATATATATATATATATATACATACATACATATATGAACACATACACACAGGTGGTTGTGAGCTGATATTTATATAGTAATTATATTTAAAATGATATAAAAACAACATAAATAATACATTATATAAATATATGATGTTTTATATGTAATTTTAAAATTAAAAAATCAAAATGACTAAACTCTGCCATGGGGTCACTTCATACTGTTAAAGGGATAAACAGGAACTTGAGGGTCAGATTCAGTGGCTCAGCGGTCATATAGCCTCTGGTCATAGCAGTCCTATGACTTTGAGCTGCATTTCTAAGACTATCAGATAAAACACAGCTGGGGAAAGGCCTGGTAGGGCGGAAGTTGAGGGAGTGGGCTGATAGGAATGAGGTCAGAACTTGGAATTGTGGAAACAGCCCTCCTTCCCTCCAGCCTGAGGGGCTTCCTGAGGGGTCCCAACCCGGCACTTGGAATCAGGAATGAGACAGAAGGTGAGCTGTGTATTACCCATCCCTGGGGGCAACAGAGAACCCACAGTGTCTCTGATCCCGAAGCCAGTTCTCAGTTTATGTGAAAGATTTCTTTGAGTTCAGCTTGTTCTTAGACCAGGGTCAACCCCAAACCTAGACTGAATTTGATTTAGACTTTTTTTTTTTTTTGGTTTTTGGAGACAGGGTTTCTCTGTGGCTTTGGAGGCTGTCCTGGAACTCGCTTGGTAGTCCAGGCTGGCCTCGAACTCACAGAGATCCGCCTGAGTGCTGGGATTAAAGGCATGTGCCACCAACGCCCGGCCTGATTTAGACTCTTGAATGGACTGTTTTCTGAAAGGCCTTTGAATTGGCTGAGTGCGGTGGCAAAGGACTACAGCTCCAGCTAGGTGGGAGGTAGAAGCAGAAGGAATTAGGATTTGAGTCTGGGCTACAGAGCAAGACCCAGTATTGAAAGAAAGAAAGAGAGAGAGAGAGAAAAAGAGAGAAAGAAAGAGAGTAAAAGAGAGAGAAAGAAAGAAAGAAAGAAAGGAAGGAAGGAAGGAAGGAAGGAAGGAAGGAAGGAAGGAAGGAAGGAAGAAGAGAAAAAGGCCAGGGCTGGAGAGATAGAGATGGCCTAGCAGTTAGGTTCCTAACACCCAGACACCCAGGTCACATGGCTTACAAGTTCATGTAACTCTAGCTTCAAAGGATCCAATGGTCTCTTCTGATCTCCGCTGCACTTGTGCAGCACTACACACCGCCCCCCCCACACACACATATACAGAGAGAGAGACATACACACACACAGAGACAGAGTTACTGAGTTAAGGGGTCACATAACTTTGTAATCAAATTTGGTTTTGTAGTATTTCTTTTTTTTGAATCAAAGCCATTTCTTGCTTTTCTCTTAAGAGAAAACACAATTGTTACTGACTGGAAACAAACTAAAGTCACTTTCTAGTTCAGCACGTGGACTGAGGGAGGACTGCCTGATATTTCTATATCAAAACTGAGTGTGGTGGTTCACACCTACAACCCCAGCCACTCTGGAGGCTGAGGCTGGAGCATTTCAGTTCAGGAATTCTAGGTCAGCCTGGGTACTACAATGAGAAAAAAGACAATCTTAAGTCATCATTCCTTCACGCTGTTTTTCGAGACAGGGTTTCATGTAGCCTAGGCTGACCTCAGATTCACTATGTAACCAAGACTGGCCTTGAACTCCTGATCCTCCTGCCTCCATCTCTTACATGCTAGGATTATAGGCATGTCTCACCATGCCTAGATTCTTCATTCTATTTTGAGGAGAAGAATCACTACCCTCTCTCAATTTCCAAAGACCTTTTTGTGTATAGCACACCTGCTACAGTGTACGCCCATGTTTTGTGACAATAGGATCAATTTCCTGTTGATTTGGTTTGTCCCAGACACGTGCCAGCCAGCCTTATGACTAATGCGCACCTTAAGAGGCCCTAAATAGCTGACCTGCTATTCTGGTTTTTTGGTAATAGGCCCACATCTGTTCTCTCTTCCTCATCCAGCTGAGGCAGTCAACATGGAGGTCACTTTCCTGTTTCTGTCCCACACAGGCATGGATGAGCTTAACTACTCAAACTCTACTTCTGTGTAGAGGGAGCTGGGAGTGTAACTCAGGCGGTAGAGTGCTTTCGTAGTCTGCCCAAAGCCTAGAGTTTAGTCTCCCGCACTGTGGGGATATGTTCCCAGCACTTGGGAGGTAGAGGCAGGCAGGAGGATCTAAGTGATTCTTGGTCACATAGTAAGTTCAAGCCTAGGTGACATGAGACTCTCTCTCTCTCTCTCTCTCTCTCTCTCTGTGTGTGTGTGTGTGTGTGTGTATGTCACACCGGGGAGGGGCAGAGGAGTGCTTTTAAGCAGGTATGATAAGTCCATCCTCTAAGGTCCATAACCTGCTTACTGAGAGATGGGACAAATGAGTTGACCTGCCGCCAACCCCCCCCCCCCACTTCTTACATGTATTACATCCCAGAGAGTACCTGAGACTGACTATATGTGAGCCTCACCAAGGCTAAACACTCCTCTCTCTCCAGCTGGGGAGCTGGCTTCACCTTGCACAGGACCCTAAAGACCCCAACCAGGAGAGCCACAAATCCAAACACAGCTCACCACGCCCTCCTTCCAGAAGCATGGTGGGACACTCTTGAGTGGCCATCAGAATTGCAGAAGAATGGGAAAGACTGCACACCTCCTCTCCCCTGGTAACCAGCTCCCTAAAACTGTGTCAGCGATAGATGCCTTTAGCTACAGTCATGCTAAAACACAGATCTTCCCAATAATGATAACTCTATCAATGTATTTTAACAACAAAAACTCAACTTGTCAGCCAGGCGGTGGTGACGCATGACTTTAATCCCAGCACTTGGGAGGCAGAGACAGGCAAATCTCTGTGAGTTCCAGAATGGGCTCCAAAGCTACAGAGAAACCCTGTCTCGAAAAACCAAAAAAAATTTATGTAAGTTTGTATTTGTATTATATATAAACGTTCTTCATGTACGTACACACACACACACACACACACACACACACACACACACACTTTTCCCATAATTGTGCACCTGAGATGAGTTCATTCAATTTTCTCACACACCTCAGATCTGCTCACTTCAGCACACAGTTGTTCAAGTCAGCACCTGGCCCTAGTGAGTCCAACTCTTTGTTAGATACCTCTGGGAAGCCAAAGAATTTGTTTAAAACTCTAAGGCTATCTGAGCATGAGATGCACACCAAAACTGGAGCCTGAGGCGGGAGGATCATTGTGAGTTCAAGGCTAGGATGGGGTGCATGGGAAAACACTGTTTTGGGACTGGAGAGATGGCTCAGTGGTTAAGAGAGCACTACTGCTTTTCCAGAGGACCTGGGTTCAATTCCCAGCACCATCATGGAAGCTCACAGCTGTCTGTAATTCCAGTTCCAGGGGATCTGGCACCGATGGCAAAACACTTTCTTAATGCCCGCCCTCCCCATTCACAAACCATGCAAGCTACCAAGTGTCAGATGAAGGTCTTAACTTTAATCTAGCAAGGACCTTGAGTAAATTCATTCCTTGTTCACAAAGCAAGACCACTTTGCAAGCTTGTATCTTTATCTAGAAGACTCATGCTATCCCGCTGTGAGTACCAAGGAGTGCTCAACAAGTTAAGTTGTGCCAACTCATCCTAACTCTGTGGTGGCGGGAGGTGTAGGGGGCTTGTAGGGGGGCTAAGCCACAGCTTGTCTTTCCTGTTGTTTTTGTTTGTGGAGCTTGCGATGGGACCCCACACATGCTGAGCGAGTGCCCCCACCACTGAGCCACACTCTCAGCCCTGAAACACATTTTAATAGGAGTGCACATGCTGACTTGACTGCACTAATTTCTTCTGTTTCTCATTTCTGTACCTCATCCTGCCAACCCTGTTCTTTCCCCCACTGAAGTGGAAAGGCCATGGTGGTAAAATGTAAGCCCACAGCCTCTACCGAGAGCCTTCTACTACGTTCCAAGCTTCTCCCAGAGTGACCTCGATCACCAAGCCTCAAACCAAACAAACAAAAAAGGAAATCTATTTAAAGACATCCTTTCTGCCACTCCTAATCCACAGCCTGCTGCTTACTGGTGGCGGGGCATCCCTGCCTACTAAGAGTCGTCAGCAACGCTGGAATACTCAGCTAGATCCCACTCACTTCCCAGAACCACTCAACACCCAACCCTCCCAGCAAAACCTGGAAGAAGAGGTTGAGCACCCCGCCTCTGAGTCAGCCAGGGTGTCTGGGGCCCAAGCACGGGAGACTTGAGGCCAGACTGGGGTTTTGTTTCTATGGCTTTCATTGGAGACAGAGTCTCACCAAATAGGCTAAGCTGGAACTTCCTATTGCAAGCCTGAGTTGGCTTCTGATTCTGGGTTTTCCTGCCTTGGTCTGCAAGTGCTGGCATTTCAGGTATGCTCAACCACAGCCAGTGGAAATGGGCTCTTTTGATTTGTCTAATTGACTGTTTCTTGGTTCGTGTTGAGAACATCCAGAGCCACTATCTCTCTGTGAATCTCAAATTTTGTTCCAAACTGCACAGTCCAAGAAGCTGGGGCCCCAATTCATACACACGCCCCGCTGAGGTACTCATTAGAGGTTACAGGCATGGCTCTGAGGTTGTATGCCTGGAGGAACTAAAGCCCCTGGAGACTTCATCTGCCTTCCTACCCACATGTGAGGCCCTTAATAATGTTAACTCCGGGCTTGCTGCTACCTCTGAAGCAGGTCCCCTGACTTGGGAGGCCTGGAGCACATGGTGCATACAAGGGAGTGCCTGCCTCCCTGGCTGTTTCAGAGTGCCTTGCCTTATCTGCATCGAGGAAGATAGGATTGGGTGAGGGGTTCCACACTGTGGCGCAAGAAGCCTGGATTTGCGCAATGCAGGCCCTGCCTCTGTGTGCTGACTGTGCAGAACTCACTACGCCTAGAGGCAGCACAGGAGGGGTGTGTGTGTGTGTGTATGTGTGTGTGTGAGTGTGTGTGTGTCCACAAACATTTCAATTTGCTCTTCTTTCTCCCCACAAATCTGTCCCCACTTGTCAGCAATGCCACCTGCTTTCAAGTAGCCATAACAAAAATGAGACAGTCACGCCCATCTTTGTCACCTTGCCGCCTTCCCTTTAAAGGCTGAGAATTCCAGGAAAAGAGAAAAAAAAGTTATTTTTAAAAAACTCAGTGCACATCTTTTAGAAACAAAAACACTTTCAGAGTCAAACTATCATGTCTCATAAGTAACCAAATTAAATTGCATAATTATATCCTCAACACTATATAATTTTCAGTAAATGTTAAAATCTCCCTAAATTATCCCTAAAACCTAGTTTGTGAAAACTAGGGTCCATAGGAGACTATACAACATGCCTGTTTTATATACCCGTGAACCTTTATGTCCTTCTCAAACCACAAAGCTCCCTTTGTCATGTTCTGACTCCAGAGGATGCCAGGCTACTTGGTTGTGTCCAGCAGCTTCTCTGTGGTGCTTAGCTGGCTTTCTCTGTCGATTTTCTGCACACTGGAAGTTTTGTCTACACATCCAGATTAAGTGTTTCTGAACTGCTCGACTTTTACGCCTTAAGACAAGATCTCATTTATCCCAAGCCAAGAAAACTCACCACACAGCCAAGGCTGACCTTGAACTCTTGGTCCTCCTGCCTCCACCCCTGAGTGCTAGGATTACAGGAATACAGCATCATGCCCAGTTTCCGGGGAGCTGTGGGTCAAACCCAGCACTTCGTGTACTCTAGAGACGCTGTCTACTGACTGAGCCACATCCTCAGCCCCTCTAAGAATGGGCTTTTCTTCTTTTTAAAAAAGATTTGTTTGTTTATTTATTATGTATACAGCATTCTGTCTGTATGTATGCCCGCAGGCCAGAAGAGGGCACCAGATCTCATTACAAATGGTTGGGAGACACCATGCGGTTGCTGGGAATTGAACTCCAGCCCTCTGGAAGAGCAGTCAGTGCTCTGGGAGGTGGGGGAGTTTCGAGACAGGGTTTCTGTGTGTAGCTTTGGAGGCTGTCCTGGAACTAGCTCTTGTAGACCAGGCTGGTCTCGAACTCACAGAGATCCGCCTGCTTCTGCCTCCCTAGTGCTGGGATTAAAGGTGTGTGCTACCACTGCCTGACGTAGTCAGTGCTCTTAACCCCTGAGCCATCTCTCCAGCTCTAAGAATGTTTTATGAGTGGAAGACATACTACACAGAAAGGCTGACCTCCATAATGACAAACACCAAAAGTATCACCTATGCACATGCCGCTCAGTGAGACTACATTTATCTTCCTACTTGTGGACTGTACAGAGAGGGGGCTGCTTCTTGCTATATTCAGAGTATAGTGTGTCACAATTGTAGTCTGATATGATGTGGAAGAAATCTACATAAAAGCTACTAGGGTATTCGAAACCATCTGCAAGAACCCTCCTGCTCTTTCTTGGATTCTACTGTGTGTGTGTGTCTGCCTGTCTGTCTGTCTGAGGAGGTAGATGTAGACTTGAATCTAATGTTTTCAATACCAGGGATTGAAACATGCTAGGCAACTGGTCTGCCGCTGAGCTACAGCCCCAGCCCTTGGTGTCTCCTTTTTTTGTCTCACAGCCTAGACTCTACTCCTAGTACTGCTCCTGGGCCAACCCTTCCAGAAGCCACAAATCTGTGAGTGACAGACCCAAATGTGAGAGAATGCAGGTAGGTGACTCTGGATATGACATTGTGGTAGTTTGAGTGTAATTGGCCCCCATAATCTCATAGGGAGTGGCACTGTTAGGAGGTGTGGCTTTGTTGGAGTGGTTATGGCCTTGTTGGGGGAAGTGTGTCACTGTGGGGGCAGGCTTTGAGGTTTCCCATGCTAGGGTAACTCCCAGTGTCTCAGTTGACTTCCTGTTGCCTCAAAGATACAGCACTCTCAGATCCAGCACCACATCTGCCTGCGTGCCGCCATGCTCCCCTTCATGATGGCAATGGGCTGAACCTCTGAAACTGTAAGTGAGCCTCTCCAATGAAATGTTTTCTTTTTAAGAGTTTCCGCGCTCATGATGTCCCTTCACAGCAATAGTAACCCGAAGACAGACATTATACATTATTCTCCAGGCTTACAAAGTCCTTCTTCTTTTGGTGGTGCTGCGGATAAAACCCAGGGCCTTGCATACACTAAGCACACACTCTGCCACTGAGCTACATGCATGGCTGCAATAGCCTCCAATTCCCAAGCTTAGTATGAACCCAGTTAAAAACATTTGACCACATATTAGGGAATAAACAATCTGTTCTGTGAGTCTGTATCGTTACTAACACAGGCCATCTTACAGTGACTTGCGAGGGCTGCCAAGGCTCGCAAAGGCTGGGAACCCCCTTAGTTTCCAGCGTGTGGGGCATGAGCCTCTGAGACATCCCTGATCCAGGCCAGCCTCTGTGCTCTGAGAGGTGAGCAGGGAACCAGGCAATGCTGGTGTCCCCAAGCACATGGTGTCCTCTGAGCAAACGAAGAAGCAAGCATGGAAATGAAGGGTGGTGGGGTGGGCTCAGGACGTTTTGGGATATTCTCACACATGGACTAAACAGCGAGGACAATGACAGCGAGTACATGCCATGCATGTGCCTAAATACACGTACAATATTTCTGGGAGTGAGTTGGGCGATGACTGTAGGTAGAGCTTTCCCTGCAAGCATGAGGACCTGAGTGCACATCCACAGCAATCTTATAAAAAGCTAAAGAAGTGGGCCACACCTGTAAATCCCAGCGCATGCAAAGTGGAAAGAATGGGGTCGGTGGAGGCTTACTGGCCAGCTAGTCCAGCCGATTGGTGCGCTTCAGGTTCCGTGAGTGGCAGCATCTCAGTAAGGCAGAAGGGCTGGATAGGTGGCTCAGCAGTTAAGAGCACTTGCTGTTCTTCCAGCGGGCATGGGTTTAGTTCCCAGCACCCATATTTGGGGGTTCACAACTTCCCATGACTCCAGCTTCGGGGGATTCACTGCCCCCTTCTGGCCTCCAAGGATACTACACATAAATAAAAAATGAGATGGAGCGTGATGGAGGAAGATACTAGATGTCAATCTAGATGACAACTAGATGTCAACTGAATGATACTAGATGTCCACCACACAGAGAATACTTTTAGGAGGTTCTGTATGAATCTGATGACTGGTAGGAAGGGGTGAGGGAGTAGCAGGGGAACCTTAGTGTATGAACTAGGAAGACGAATTTTAATGAATCACTGTAAGGATTCAGGCATTATGCTGGCCTGCCCCGTCAATGCACTCAGGCAGTATCCTGGCTAGCCAAGGATTACAAGACTAATAGTCTGCTCACAGGCGCAAAGGACCCCTTTCAAAGAGAGACCCACCCAATTCCCGCTCTTTCCCCCGGGGCAGATAGTACATTTCTCTTCTCGTTTGTCATCTCTGTGTCTGTGTCTATTTACCTTATTTTCTTATCTCCCTGTCAATAAAACTTTCAATATAAGTCACATCTATAGGTCTCTGTTTCCCCATCTGCCCGCTGACCAACACCTGCCCCTGACCGAGATCCTCGAGGTCCCAGTACGGGACTGGGGACCTGCCACCTGTGGTCCCAACACACTCTGAATTGTTCCTCAGAATAACCTTTGGAATTGTTGGATTTTTTTTATTTTTATTTTTTTTACTGTGTACACCGTGGCTTTTTGGAAAATGACAAGTTTGGGAAACGACTTAAGGAAAAAAAAAGATGTGGTGTGTAGTTTGTGAACTTAAACATGTGGGAGTACCCTTTGCCACTTTTCAGCAGTGTGACCTTGTGCACTTGGTGAGTCCTGCCTGGGGCTCCTTCAGCACACCGCAGGGCTGCAAGGAGAGGAAGGGTGGGAATGGGTGGGGTGGGTAATTAGGTCTGTGAACTTTACAGAACTGTTTACTGGCTCGTTCTTCTGTACCTCGTCACTTAAGTGTTCATAAAGAGGGCATCTCCCTTTAGTGATTATACATCACACGGTGATGTCACTTGCTCCAGTGTGAGCAGAAGCTATCTCATTGTTTTTATAAAGCTCTCTATTTGGTCCCTGGTTCCTCCCAGTTTTGCTGAAGGGCATGTGATCAAGTGCTGTCATCTAGTGGTCAAAATGCATATAACTAATCCTGGAAAAGATGAAGGGCCGGGGCATGTCCAGCGGTTTGACGCAGAACTGGTCCTAAAGGCATGCACTACCACCCCACCGGGTCTGTGTTTCCAATTTTCATTCATTGCTAGCTTGGTCTTATTCCCCCCACCCCGCCTTTCTTTTTTTCTTTTTTTTTTTACCTAAAATTTTTCCTTTTCTTGTTTATTAATTTTTCTCTCATATTACACCCCAACGGCGGCAGTTTCCCTCCCTCCTCCCCTCGCAGTCCCTGAGCCGCCTCCCCTCTCCCCCCCCTTTAGATCCTCTCCTCTTCTTTTCCCTTCGGAAAAGGACAGGCCTCCCAGCGATATCTACCAAACGTGGCATAACAAGTTACAGTCAGACTAAGCACCTCCCCTCATGAGGCTGGACAAGGAAATCCAGGAAGAGGAAAATGGCCCCAAAAGCAGGCAAAAGAAACAGCCCCCACTCCTACTATCAGTAGTCCCACAAGAACATCTGTAGTAATTTTAAAAACGGAAGAGAGAGAAAGACACCACGAGACAGAGTTCAGGTGGAGGGTTTTTTTAATTAGGGGAAAGGGATTGTAAAAAGGAGGATGGGGAAGGGGGAGACCAGTCTCTGGGGATAGGAGAAGTGGGAGAGAGGAAAGAGAGGCAGAGAGAGAAAGAAAGAGAGAGGCAGAGAGAGAGGGTGGGACAGAGAGAGAGAGAGAGAGAGAGAGAGAGAGAGAGAGAGAGAGAGAGAGAGAGAGAGAGAGAGAGAGAGAGAGAGAGAGAGAGAGAGAGAGGGATGGCACTGGACAGGGCCCTTTGAAAAGGGAACATAGTGTGAACATGCACAGGTGGTGCTCTCAGTGGCTGCAGCTGAGGGGGTATCTTGTCAGAACTCCAAAGGCAGGCCAGCACAGATGCCTGAGTACTGACAGCACCAAGCTACTCAACCATAACATATGCAGAGGACCTAGGTCAGACGCATACAGGTTCCTGATTGTCAGATCAGTCTGTGGGCCCGTGTGAGTCCAGGTTAGTTGATTCTGTGAGCCATTTTCTTGTGGTGTCCTGTGGGGACACCAGACCTTGAGCAGAGACCCACTTCCCCATCGGCCTGGGAGTAGGCAGCTGTAAGACAATGTTTACTAAAAACATGATTACTAAAAACAATACAATGCCCGGGGCAATAAGTTCCTGGAAAGGGCTTCCCCACAGGAACTGCCCTGACCTTGACCTTGTCCAAAGACTAACCGCCTCTTCTGACATGCCCAGATCAGTTTTTGGTGTCAGAGCAGAACCAGCCAGGGGTAAGGAGAGAGCAGAAGCTTTTCTGGAGGGAGGCCTTTCTTGAGAAGTTTTTTTGAGCCTTTTTGGGGCCTGCTTAAAGTTTTCTTTACATCGTTGAACAAGTCTCTGTGTTGTCAATCCCCAACACCCTCTGCACGTTCTCGGACACAGGCTGCGAAGCAGACGAGGCAGTGTCCTTGACCCCTCTGGCTCCTACAATCCTTCCCTTTTTGATTATTGTAACCAACACTATCAGAAGCACTTGTGTGCATGCCTCTGTGTGACTAGCCCTCTCTTTTACTTGTGAGTGCAAATGGAATTTTTCTGAGAAACTGCCAAGTTGGTTTCTAAGGCACATGAATCTTTTTTTTTTTTTTTTGGTGTTTTCAAGATACAATGTGACCTGGGACTGGCTCTTGTAGACCAGGCTGGTCTCAAACTCACAGAAATCCGCCTACTTCTGCCTCCAGAGTGCTGGAATTAAAGGCGTGCACCACCAATGCCTTTTTTTATGTTCCTGACAGTGACATAAGAAAACTTAAACTTCTTGGAGAACTGGAACAATGGCTCAGGAGTTAATAACACTAGCTGGTCTTCCATTCCCAGCAACCACATGATGGGTCACAATCATTCGTAATGAGATCTGGTGCCCTCTTCTGGCCTGCATGCATACATGCAGATGGAATACTGTATACATAAATAAAATCTTTTTCAAAAACCTCAAACTTCTTTAAGGAGTTTCCAATGTTCTAGTTCTGGCATTCTATCTATCTATCTATCAAGATCTTGCTAAGTAACTCTGGCTGGTCTGGAACTTGCTATGTAGACCAGGCTGGCCTCAAACTTGTGATCTTCCTGCTTCTGCTTCCCCAAGACTGTACCAGACATAAGCCACAAGGCTTGGCTTTAAAAAAATGCTATCCTAGTGGGCAGAAAGTGATGTTTCATTATGGTTTTGATTTTCATTTCACTAATGGCTTAATGTGTTAAGCATATTTTATGTGCTTGCTGCCCATTTGTTTGTCTTATCTTGAGAAATGTCTACCCAGGTTGTCTGGCCATTTATAAACTAGCATTTGTATTTCTGAGTTGTTTTCTATATATGTTGTGCTGTTGGAGCCACTGTGTTCTCTACAATGCGACTTGGTTGCCTCCTGCTAGCTGGGCTGTCTTTAGCTGTTGTGGTGGCATCTTATTTTTTTTTTTTTTTTTTTTTGGTTTTTCGAGACAGGGTTTCTCTATGGCTTTGGAGGCTGTCCTGGAACTCGCTCTGTAGACCAGGCTGGCCTCGAACTCACAGAGATCCGCCTGT